GCATCTAACCGACGCGTTGACCGATATGGTTTCATAGTCAGATCGATACGTAACACTGAAACTGGATAGCGACGAAGATGGTGTGCCGTGCGGCCGGGAAGACTCAAAGGATTAAACGATGGCCTAGAAGCGGATTCACGGTTTGGTTGCTTTACATACTGCCGCTAATGAAAACGATACGTCCGTTCTCGAATTACGTATTAATGGATACGGCGTAGCGTTTCGCCGAAATATTGTATATCGAAATTGCGAGAAAAGCGCGCCTCTGCGTGCGCGCGCGCGCGCTTCGCACACAAAGGCGTAAAGCCCGTTTGCGATTGTTACTAACTCGGGTAGAGACCAAAGTAGCGATCATTCACGAATTTGCGACGCGCGGAAAATTGACTGCACGAGGGTGCGTGCGTGTACCGGACGTCTGAAAATTCGAGACGTGGCCCGCAGATAGAACACATCGAGCTGAACGAAAGAGCGCTGTACTAATATGATTAATGTCGCGAGCTTTGCCGTCTCTCGTCCGCGAGAGAGGAACAGCGTCGAGGGAGACATCGTTCGTGGCGTGTTTATTCGGCGCGATCTAACGGCACGGGTGTATTAATTAACTGTTGACCGTTTAATAGGAATTCGATTCGATAGTCGCGCGCTAATAATGCAGGTGAAACTGGACGCGTTTTCGCGTGTCCTCGTATAAATTCAGCCACGCCGGCCCGAAGCGGTTCCATTCGATTCGCTCGCTCGCACGGGCAGTTTTCCCGCTGTAATCGGTTGATTACACGAATCATTTGCGCAACTTTGCTCGACGCTGGTGTCGCGTCCCACTCTCGAAGCTCATTAAAACGCGAGGACACGTTCTTTTTCCCCACCTCGCTTCGATGCTGCCGGCTATTCTCGCCGTAGCGGCTGCTCCCTCTTCCTCTTTTCCGTTTTCTCTAAAATTTGTATTTACATTTTATCTCGTGCAAGGGTCGGCGCGCCCGTTAAAATAATTAGTGATACTCTCTTGAGCACAGACATGCACCTGCACATGGACATTTTAATTGCGTCTACTCGCGCTAATATCTCAGTCCTCGCAGGTCGTGCAAATCCGCCATTGTTCTTGACAAGCGTTAAGTCTCAACTCTGGTTAATTCGGCCAACTGCCACGGTGAACTCAGTTTTCCTGAGCGTTGAGTAAACGACGTTATAATTCTCGCGAATCAGCGGCTCAGAAAACAACGTCGATCTTTTTTTCGCCACTCTTTCCATCGCGATAAATAAACGCAGTTTGTTGTCCGCCTCCGCTGATTCTTTGGAAAATTTCCGTACTGCCGACCGGCTTAATGCAACGCAGCGTGATTGTAAAAGCGGGCGAGGTTGTAAATCTATTTTAGATTCACAGACCCAGAAATGTCTCGACACAATCGGCTGTCCGAGAAGTAACAAGGTAATTGTTGATCGTTAAAAGTCAAAAGAGAAAGAAAGAGGAAATCCAAGGATAAGATATTTAGAAAACGCTGCTATTTTCTTGGCTACTCGTGCTATTGCTCGCGTTTAATTCAATTAACAAATTTTTACTTCGCAATGAACGAATTTTATTAACAGCTTTAAACAATGATAGAGCAATGGAAGCAAAAAATAAAGAGTCAGCCTTTTGGCTGAGTTGGGATTAGTTATACTGAGGAAAAGATATGTAAAAAGTAGTAAATATTTATTTGATTGATATTAATAACGTATTTACGCACGCACACGTAAATCTCAATTCTTTACTTGAATAAAATAATCATTTGCTTTTGTGAAAAGCTAAGGTTTTCTTGAGGTTTAAGGAAAATATGTATTTTCTTATTCGAAGAATAAGATATTTTGTACTGGTACAAGCAAAAATATTATTATTAGTACCGACTGAATAAAAAGTTAATTATTTTCATATTTGCATATTTCAATATGTAATCAATATGCATCAGTTCTTACATATTTCTCTCTCTTTCTCTTTCGGTGCATTGACATTTAGTAGCGAGTTACTTTTCTTTGCGCACGATCTCCCCTACTAACTACGCGACATTTGTACCGCAATAACCGTCAAATATTTCGCGCATTCGCCCCCGTTTTGTCACGCGTATCAGCGGGAGGGATCCGTTTCGACGTGGCAGCAGGGAAGATAGCGAGTCGCTACGCCGTTCCGTCTCGTTTCCTCTTCCGTTATCTCGTTAGAGAACCCGCGGTCCCCATCAGGACGAAAAGGGTGGGTGAGGGCGAAGGATACGACGCGCTCGATGAGGCGCACATTCACCGTCGGCAATTCGCGGCCATTGGAGCTGTGCGACTTTAAGCTGCGCACACACTTTCGGGACCGAAAGTGAAACTCTTCGCCGCTTTTGCACCGCCACGTCGCGGCGACAGTGCTAGCAATTGCAGCGGGGAATGCATCTCGCGGAAGGTCACCCGAGAGTTCGCCAACCGGCTTCGCGTTTCTTTCCTCCGTCCTTTTTTCCTCTCTCTTTTTCTCTCTCCCTTTTTTTCTTTCTTTCTTTCTCTTTCTCTCTTCGCTCCATTTCGCCGCCACGTTGGCGACGAAACGTATTAAGAGCGAAGCGTATTAAGGGGGAATGAAGGTTGTAAAGCCCCGGGCAGCTTTTTGCCGCGACAATCACACTCGGGCCGGAAGTTTCGTGCTCAGCCCTCGGGCCGTTGAGTGCGCGAGTATGGAACTTGGTCTCTCTCGCAATGGCGCCCGTCAACCCTTCCCAACGGAATGTCCTCCAGTGCCTCCTATGGAAACTTCCGTATCGGCGAGTGAGGAAGACACATCTTTCCGAGCTTTCGACGAGAATCGTTTAATTTCGAAGACGTTTCGCGCGCGCACTCGGAACTTGCGAAGGGAGTGGAGTTTCGCGAGCCTCTCGGCTTGTGACTCGCGGCTGTCAGCTCTCCGTGGAAGCGAAATCTTGAATTTTGGAAATGTCGGGAACTATTCCTCACGAAATCTCATTGTCCCATCAAAGACCGAGACAGTTCTCTCAGCCAGTTGACTTTGATTTAATTTGTTCTTGTTAAAGAACATGCTTAATGTCTCGATGCTTGCTCGCGTGTGATTTGCTTGAAACTGCAATCATACGGGGGCCAACGTACGAGGTCAACGACAAGCTCAACAAGCTTGAAACGTGGCTTGGCGAGACGTTATTTCGACCAGAGAGAGGTCATTGAAATTTCGTGACGCCTGCCGCTGTATCACCGTGAGACATCACATCGGGAGACGCGGAGAGTCCCGCCGAAAACGATCATTTATCGTGCCAACTTCGTTATCTGCCTCTATCTTTTCTTATCTACGAGAAATAAATGAAAGCAACTCTCAGTCCGCGCAATTCATAACGGCGCGGTAATGATTGCCCGTCACGAAAAGCCCGCGCCGTTTTCTGATCACGTTATCGCCTAGCAGCGATGATTGTCCGACATGAAAAGCGCAGACTGATTACCGCTCGTGATCTAACGACGTTCCGGTGACTGTACCTTTCTGCTTGAAAATCCATGTCGTCATTCGCTGCTTTGAAAAGCTCGCGCATGCATCTGCCCCCTCTCGACAATCAGTGATCGTTCGATCTATTTGATCTCGAGTATGAAACAGATATTTCCGTAAATCTTGCATGTCTGTGAAAAATTACCTCGTCAACTTGGTCGACGTCAGTCCGTTCCCGAGTGTTACGTTTGACAAGCGCTGGGACCACCCCTCCGGCTGTAATCCCTTCGGAAGTTCGGAGTTGTCGAGGTTACGCGGACGCACGTGGTTTTAATCGATTAATAAGTGCACCCTGGCTCGCGCACCTGTGTCGCGCCAATTAAAGAGGCAATAAGAAATTTCCGGGACGCACGAGAACGGTTGTTACTTCCCTTCGTCGTCGTCGGAGCGCGTTCGTGAAATTTCACGCGCCGCCGATCGAAGCAATCGAGTGATTTAGCGCCGAGTGTTACTCACGCGGGAATGAGGTGGAATCTTGTTGGACCGTCCAACGTGATATTACCGGTGATCTGCCCGGCGACGTTAACATTTCCAAAATACCCTCGTGCGGAACGCAAAAGAGAGATCAGATACGCAGACGTGACAACTCCTCCCTGATCTCATCGCCTCCTCATCGCCAGTCCTCTCCCTCGTCATACGAATCTCGCGGTCGAGCAAGTCTCTCCTCCACGTAGCCGCGCGAAAACGCACGCGTCGAATCCCATCAGATTTCCAAGCCGCCGCGCATTTTCCCGCATACATCCACTTATGATGATTCTGCGGATGTATGTGGGCTACCATCGTCATCGTCTCGTCGGTACCGGGCCCGCGGCTATTCCACGTCATGGGATCTCGGTCTGTTAAGCATGTTGACAACGTGTAGCAGCGCGCGTTCTCGTCGTTGGATGCTGTGGCCTGCGGACCGCGCGTACTGATCAATATGGAGGGGAGCTTGGTTGAAGAGAGCGGGTAGGGGTTAGTTTCAGGGGATGCTTCGAGGGGGTTTGCGTCGGTGGCTGCCACGGCGGCGGCGGCGGCGGCGGCGGCGGCGGCGGCGGCGGCGGTCCACGGGGTGGTGGTGGCGGTGGTGGCGATGGCGATGGTGGTGGTCGTCCCGGCGACGACGTCGACTACGTCGAAGGTCTATTTGTGTTGGTGATGGTGGAGGCGGTGGAGGCGGCGGCGGCGGCGGCGGCGGCGACGGCGGTGGTGGCAGAATGCGAGAACCGCGAAAGGGGAAACGAGCTCTCTCGCGGCCTTACCGCGCGCAGCTTTGGCCGGAGGGAGAGCGAAACCGTCGCACCGGTGGCGGCTCAGTACGTACCGCGACGTGGACGCGTCCGTACCGCGCACTCTCCGGCCCTGACTCCTCTAACTGGGTCAACCCCTCGAACGGGATCCTCTGTGCATTAGCCCCACGAGGGGGAGAGAGAGACAGAGTGTGTGTGTATATGTGTGTGTGTGTGTGTGTGTGTGTGTGTGTGTGTGTGTGTGTGTGTGTGTGTGTGTGTGTGTGTGTGTGTGTGTGTGTGTGTGTGTGTGTGTGTGTGAGCGCGAGAGGGTGCAAGAGAGTGAGGAGACCTCGGCGCGATCGTAGTAGCAGCGCGTCCGCGGTCAAAGAGCACTGCCAAAGAGGTGTCCTCGTTTTTCTCTCTCTCTTTCTCTCTCTCTTCGTGTTCGCCGTCGACGAGAGGAAGGAAAGAAAGGAGAAAGTATAAGAGAAGAAAGAAAGAAAGGATAAGGGGCAAACGTCGGGCCGCGCCGTACGTCCGGTGGTGCTCCGAAGTACGTAAAGCCGAGTGTTCTCTTTCTCGCGCGCTCTCGAATCGCGGGGTTAATTCTCCAGGAACCACGTCGACCCGCGCGAATACCAGCCAACGGATCCGGACGGTGTTCGTGCGTCCTGGCGCGTTCTGGCGTACGCGTCTAAGCGGATAATGTTGAGTGACGAGTCGTCCGTAGTGATACGTTAAGATATATTGATGATAAGATTCGTCGATAATCGGCTAGGTGCGCGGTGAAAGGCTCTCGAATCAGGGGTGGTCCCGAACATAGTGCACGGATTAAGCTAATTAGTATGAGTCACGGGGCGATAATCCTTCAGAGATGAGTCCTTATCGACAGGTGCTCTCTCGACAGCTCGTTTCTCGCGAGAGAGCTCATTTCAAGTGGCAGTTTCTGAGATAACGGAAGCCTCTTCGCGCGTACGCTCGTCGTCGCGGCGTGGGATTACGTAGGGCGCGTAGGTGGATCACGAGGAGTGATCTATTTTCCACTTGCGAAATAGCGTTTCCTCTTTCTCTCTCCCCCCTCTCTCCTCTCTCTTTATCTCTGTCTCTTTGTCTGTCTTCCTCTATCTCGCTCGGTATTCGAATAGTTTCCTCTTCGTCGTGTCACCTCTATAACAACTCGAGCATTCGTCGCGATTGCCGGCGCTCTGACAACTGTTGTTGCAAAGAGCCGTCGACGAAATTCCAAGTGACGTGTCTGCGAGACGAGCCCGTCGCGAGTGTTTGCGCTGCAATTTTGCACCCTGACGTCTGTCGCGTTCGACGCTCGGCGCTACGCTCGTCCTCGCAACCAGGTCAAGTGTGCCCGCACCACCACTACCACCGCCGCCGCCGTTGACCTTCACGCTGCGGGATTCGGGATCTTTTCGCCAGCGTCGTCGCTCACTGCATCAACCATGCTCGCGCATTTCCGTCTAGCCTCGTCGTTCAGCTTTTGCGAGCTGAACGTCGTTCCCGCAATAATTGATCGCCGCGTTCATTAAGGACAATGTCCCAACCCCGACGTCGACTCAGTGCTCCCCGCTGCGATCCAAACATCCTGAGTTTCTGTGACTCGTATTAGCGTTCGTTGCTCGAAACTTGTCCCACGTGAGACTCTCAGATTTGAATATACAATTAAATCTGAGTTTCTTTATTTAGGTTATGCTGTGTATGTGACATTATATTGTTATTGTGCGCGGTTCAGCTGAAAAACTCATATCTAATCGTAAATTAAAATCCGAGTATCTCACCCGAGGCAAGCTTCAAGTAGCGACTCTCATCAATGCGAACCCGTCACGCCCGTAGCCATCTCGCGAAATCGTGGTTACGTGGGAAGCAAATTGTGCTCGACGAGAATCGACGTGCGTGAGATAATACGGTAATTCGGACGCCGCGAGCTCGCCAAAGGCAATTTTTAACGCACGAGAGCAACGCGATCGTTAATGTATTCTGCGGCCTCGGTGGGACGTGTCCCCCTCGTCATGACATTGGAATATAAATTACATTCCCCTGGTCGTGTCCGCTATTACGTGGCCGATATCTTGGCGAGCCGGGCTTCAGGCTGACATTAAAGCGTCGACACGGCTCGTCCGGTGACACACTTTTTCGCCGTCGGGCCTGCTCCTTCTCAGCCGAAACGACGACGTCGAGTGATGTATTATCGACATTAGATACGTCATTAATGCGTCACTTGACGTCATCCTGCTGCTAAGATCGGCGTGGTTTGTTCGTTCTCCCACGTCTGGCCTGCTTCTCTCGTGGACGCTGTTGAAGTTGTCACGCGAAATCAATATACGCGTTTTTCGTCGCAACATGGCATGTCGGACGCCCGTCATGAATAGCATTTTCCAAGTCGTAAGCGCAACGTATCCTTGAAAAATTCACGTCGCCTCGACGTCGTGCCTCCACCGTCATTTCTTCTTCTTCTTCTTCTTCTTCTTCTTTTTCTCCATCCCGGGAAGTCATGGATGCTTCGTTTCTTACGTTTTAATCCTCTGAAAAATGCACTTGGCAGCAAGCCGCCGCAAAGTCCACGCTTATTCCATCCCATGCGATCTCGAAGCAGATCCATCCAGTCCCGAGAGCGACATCGCCACCCGGAGGATCTGACGGATGTTCCAAACGCACCCTGTATGTTTCCCTTACCGCCGCGACTCCCTTATGCATCCGGCTAGGGAATCCGAGACATTTCCGTGGTCGTTTCCAGAGTAATCTCTGGAGATATACCGCGGGTATAACAAGATACGTGCCCGCTGCAGCCTCTTGGATTGCCCGCCGCGAGTGTGAATCTGTCGAATCGTCTGAAGCAACGGATTCTCGTTGAAAGACGTGCGATAATCCACCCGTGAATTCCTTCGAACGAGAATGTACATGAGCGAGAGAAGTCACAGCGGAACGTAATCGCCGCGATGTAAGCGTGAACGCGGATCGTTAAGAACCGGGCAATCGTTAATGACTCGTCGAAAACAGCCGGCTGCCAAAACGGATGCTAACGGCGCGATAAAATTTGAATACTCGTTAAACGTTTCTCGCGATTTGGCACGCTCACCCGCGCGACATACTCAACGGGGATGATTCTCACGCACGACACCCCATTCACTTCGCGGCGCGAACATAAAGGCGGGCTATTGACGGAAGCGGCGAGCTGTAATCGACGGGGATATATTAAACGTTTTACGCTTAACTCCTCGAGTGATATCCCCGGAAAAGTTTCATAGCAAAACGTCAAGTTTTTTTACTTATTTACTTAAACTATTATATTTTTGTTATATTTTATTTTATTATATTTTTTGTTATGTTTTATTTTATTATATTTTTTGTAACTCATAGCAAAGACAAATTAAATACATCCTGCATCTTACTTTTCAGAATTCTTCAAGGAAAATAGCAGTAAAGAGAAGAAGAGTCTACTTTCCTGAGAAAGAAATATTTCAAAATTTATTTTGTAGGATATATAGTTTCCCTACGAAAATGATCTTTATTTCACAGAAATAATCAATAAAGTCACCATATAAATGCATTGAGAAAAAAGAATTGAAAATTTATTTATGGCATGTAAAGTTTACTTCTGTGAAGTAAAGTTTCTTTCTCTGTGAATGTATATCTCACAAATAAATTTTCAAGTATTTCTTTCTCAGTGTAGATTTCTTTTCCCTTTATTTCTGTTTTCTTGGAAAAACTTCAAAGAATAAAATATACAGGATATATCTATAATTTGTATCTGTACTTTACACTGTGAGTAAATCCTTGAAAATTTATTCGTGGCATGTAAAATTTATTTCTATCCGTAAAATCTATATCTCACGAATAAATTTTTAAGCATTTGTTTCTCGGTGTATGCTCACGCAAGAAAGAATCCGGGAATCGCACGGTCATTTGAAATCTAAACTGCTAAATTCGCGAAATAAAAAAAAATCACTTGCACAATGAATAATGCGTGAGGAACGGAGGCGCGCCGTTTAATAATCGAGAGCGCGACTACAATTTTCTATTTTTAGTCGCGAGGACGAATGTCGCGCAATTAGAACGCGCTGCGGAATCATCCGTTTCAATTTTAATTCCCACCCCTGACCTGTCCTCCGTCGCACTCGATCGACGTCGGGTGTCTGTTAAATTGTCTGTTACCGCGTGTGGTTCGCGTGTCGCGGCCACACTGAAAAAAAAGATTACGACAATTTGGTAATAATTGTCCAGCCTGTGTTACAGGTACTAAAATTTAGTACCTGTAATACAGGCTGGATAATAATTGCCAAATCGTCGTAATCTTTTTTTTCAGTGCACTCACGCACGCACGTACGCGCGATCAATTGACGCGTATCCATCGATCGGGTCAATCCGCATCACGGATGCGTAAAGAATAGCGCACGTTGGCCTCTCCCATCGAACTTGGGATTTCTTTCACGGGCGGCTCAGAGTCCACTTGTCTGCCATCGATCAAAGCGCGATCTCGCCAATTCCACGGCGAGAGAGTCCCTCTTTGAACTTGGGACTCCTTCGAGGACACTCGGCTGCTCGTGTGGCTGAAAACAATCGCGATCCTCTCGCCTGCCTTTGAAGATGATGTATCGCCCGTGGCCCTGCACGCGACAGACACGTCGAGCGTTTTCGCACACGCGGCCGTCGCGATGAATGGCCGAGCGTGATGAAACGACTAATGAACGGAGTGATCACGAGGAGCCCCGCGTACGCGCAAATAATCGTTTATTTATTCGATTAACCAACACCGTCGTCGCGTTCAGAGCGAACGTACCCGAGGCGGTATTTTTATGGATATTTTCGACCTCGGTATTTTATTTGCGTGCGTGGGGGGATAAATCGGATATAAATTCGCGATCGATGAGCACGAGGATCCGCGTCACGGAACGGGACGGCTCGAGCATCGTTCCGAACTCCGCGTTTAATAAGTTCGCTCGTGGACGTGGTTCACGGTTGTTATTGAAATCGATGGTTATTAAGGGCGGTCGGTTTAATACATCCTCTATTACTTTCCACGTAGCAACTGTACGTCGCGCACCGGGGGTGGCACGAGGAGGAGAGGGAGGAGGAGAGTCGAGGGCGCTGCGAGGGGGAGTCGGGGAAGGACGAGGTCGAATGGTGAGAGCGTGACCGGAATAAAGCAGAGCGCTAGGACGACGGAGGAGAGTAGACAGGAGGAATTAAAAAGGTGTGCGTGCACACGCGCGCGCGTCTCAAGGACGACCCCCGATATCCCGTTAATAGATAGTAGAGGATAATGCACGGTGATAAAGGATAAAGGATAAACTCCGCAGACTATCCCGGGATAATACTCCTATTTCCGAAGGATCGACCGTTCTTTCATGGACCCACGTCCATCGCTCCACTGTAGAACATCCTGGCGGAATGACGTCGCGGGATAATTGAGAGACTCGCTCTCTCTCTCCCTCCCTCCCTACCTCCCTCTCTCCAGAGAGGGTTCCAGTGAGAGTTTACCCCGCGTCCGCGCGAGAGTTCGTGCGCTCGGGTGAACGAGGATAATTCTGTGAGGATAATCGATCCGCCGCCGCCGTCGATCCTCGAACGGCTCCTCGACGTGCCGCGCCGACCTCGACCTCGCGAGTTTCAGTGACATGCCGTTCGGTATTAAAGGGCGCAGTGTGACATCGCCGAAGGACGCTGCCGCGAGACGCCCTGGGACAACGCGAATCGTCGGTGGTGAGTACCTCCCCGCACCGAAGTGCACACACTCCGCGTATGGATCTAGGACGCGGTAATATTATTTGTGTCAAGGGAGGGTCGCGCTGAGAGGTTATCGCGAAGGGAATATTTCCCGCGGAGACAGTATCGTACTGCGCTGCCGCTGCCGCTGCGCTACCACGTCGCGCTGAATATATTTATTCGAGAGACCGACACGTTATACGAGCGCGCATAAATTTTTACTTTTCTTTTCGCCTTTCCGCAAGGAGACATTGTATCCGCTGGAATCCACGAGAGCCGCTCCCTTGAACGAGGCTGTGTGGCCGCGATGCGCATCTGAAATGTGCACAGGCGGATTCGGGCCGGTCCTTACGGAGGCTTAAGGCCTCCACCAGGGTGCAATTAAATAAAAGATGCAAACAGGACGTCAATTTCTCTGTCTCTCTTTCTCTTTTTTATCGTTTAGCATTTCTACTTTTCGTGCTTCATATTTCGCACGTGTATCTCTTTGTGTGTGTTAATCTTTACTTTTTTAATTCTCTTCCATTTCCCGATTTCCATAAAGAAATTTTACACGACCACTCTTGCGGATCCATTTGATCGGCGCGATTATTGATTGCTGACCAGATCAACGGATTTATCCCATCGCGAAAAACTTAATTTCCTGCATTCAATCATATTGTGAGAAAGAATTACTTGAAAACTTTGCTGGATATAAAGTTTATTTCTGTGAATTAAACTTTATTTCTGTAAATAAATTTTATATCAGACGAAAAAATATTTCAAGAAAGAGAGAAAAGAGGGGAAGAGAAAGAGAGAGAGAAGAGAGAGAAAGTATTCTTTTCTCAGTGCACAGTTTTCAGGACGTACAATCTGGATTTATCAAACTCGGATCATTTTATTGAAAATTAATATTTTTCGGCACATTTTCTCCCAGAGATATAAAACACTCTCAGTTATAAAAAATACTGAAAGAAAAGATATCTGAAAAATAAAAAAAATATTTGTACAGTGGGTTAGTAACACATATTTACTAAATTATCTCGCTAAGCAGAATAAAAAATTTTTTTTCATGAAAAGCAACAGTTTAATATGTTTCCTCATTTGAGATAAATTTATCTTCTCTCTATGAAAATATGTATATTACTACAAACAAGTGAATATATTATTATCTGTCAAATAAATATTTCATGTTTCTCTTAGACATTTCTTCTTTCAGTGTAGTAGCGCAATAACATCGAAATCTGCAAACAGGTTTGCGCTGTTTTGTAATTTTCCCTTTGCGAAAGTTGGTGAGCGACCAAATGAATCCGTTCGAGTCTCACGGACGCGACATTGTACGCGGATCGTTTCGCAATTTTATTTTTTAACGGAGCGCGCTGCCAAATGCAGAAAGAGAGCTCGTGATTCGTCTATGATAATGCGTCAGTTGCACTCATAAATCCGCGGGCGGGGAAATGCCGCGCGACCTTTCAGCGAGCACGATTGCTCGACGGAAAATCTCGAGAATTTGTGCGACGTTTTGCGAACGTTCGCGCTACCGTGTATCGCCGATTCACCCGCACGATAAGTATCACGGATGCAAGGCAACCGGAAATTCCCGCAATCTGCGATCCCACGTCGCGTCGATCCTTTTACTCTCTCTCTCTCTCTCACTCTTTCCCTCTTTCTCTCTTTCTCTCTTCCTCTCCCCCGCCCTCCTCTTCCGAATGGATTCTCCTCTCGTCGTTGTTGCTTCACCATTCTTCCGCATGCATTTTCCAGTTCTCTTCCATCAAACCTTTCCCTATCACGCTCGTTCATTCCTTCCGCTCTCCCGTTGCGCGCTTCTGCCGTCATTGTTATCGAAGAATATAGCGACCGACGGTGCTGGCCGATAAATTCGATGTTAAAAAATTCACTTTTATATATATATATACATACAGGGTATCTCAAAACAACCTTCGAAGCTCTCAAGTCCTAAACTGTTTTGTGATATTTACAATAATTAACAAGATATTAATTAAAAAATATTTGTGAATGATCACACGAGATATGATAGATGACGTCTATAGTGGTGACGTCTGTTATCGTGTGCTTGCACATTAAATCAAACTATTGGTTTACTCAAGTCTTACATTGACTACAATTAAATTAAAAAAGAAATCGTCGATTTTTCGTGATTTTTTTCTCTGCACAAGAGACTCGCGAGTCGTAGCGACTTCAAGAAGACGACGACATAGAAACGTATCAAATGCGAAAAGATTCCAATAGAACAAAGAGTCCTATCATTTTTCTAATAACTTTGTAGATTTTTAGTTATTAATTAGATGACGTTAATATATTATCGCGAGCGACCATCCGCCAATCTTTTTTAATTATTATTCAATCCGTACTATGCCTTCACGAGTGCTTCGAAGGTTGATCTGGGACGCCCTGTACATATATCTTACTCTCCACGACGGCGTGCATCGAGTCTGATGAACATCGTAGCCAAAAAGATCGGTCGAGGGGGAAACATGGGTTGGGAATGATTTGAAAAATAGACTTCCTCGAAACGAAATTATTTTGCAGAAAGGCTGTGAAACATAAATTTCTTTTCGCTATTCTTATCTTATTATCTCGTAAACGTTTTACGTTATTACGTATATTCTTGCAGAAATAAATATACATGTTCATTGATAATCACAAGTTTGCAAAATAAGGATGTTGTTTCAGTAAACACTCGTGTGTACTCTTAACATTATTTCTTTGCACGTTATCTATTTTCGCGAAGGAACCCCGGTAGTACGTTATGTATCAAAATCGTGTCATATGTTTGCCCATTCGTTTTACCGTCGGCTTACTTTTTATTCACTTTTATTACTTGTCCTGTACTTTTGTTGCTTTTGTTGCTTCTCTTTTCCTTTTTCTCTTCTTCTTCTTCTTCCTTTACTTCCACCTTGTACTGTTATCTAAAAATATTCATGGGAGCAAGAAAAGAAGAGAGGAGGAGTTATTGTATGCCGTGAAATACTTTTCTGGGATCAGCCACGTTGATCCTTTTACTGCTGGTTCGATAAGTCTCGAACTTTGGCACTTTCGTCGTAAGATTTCTTCTCCGTCGTTTCCAGGAATCTTTTCGCATTTGATACGTTTCTATGTCGTCGTCTTCTTGAAGTCGCTACGACTCGCGAGTCTCTTGTGCAGAGAAAAAAATCACGAAAAATCGACAATTTCTTTTTTAATTTATTTGTAGTCAGTGTAAGACTTGAGTAAACCAAACTAATTAAAAACACCGAATTATGTCCACGTATTTTATTATAACATTTCAGAGATATCCAGGTATTTTCCAAGGAAGAACGCAGTATTCCATTAATAATCAGCAACGTTGGCTCTTCTGCTTGAAAGCAATAAAGTTCATTCTTTCTTCAATTTAATAAAGAAATAAATTTCCAGACGATTTTTCTAGCAAGATGGAAAGATCGTCGTCCAAATTTGTCGCGAGTGCCCGCCGTTATAATTAACACGTTCGCGTCCAGCTTTCTCATTTTCTTCATTCATTGTCTCCCCTTTTATCTTGTTATCTTAGTCAGCGCGACGGCGACTGAAAAGAGAAAAGCCATTGTACCATTCCCGAGGAGAAAATAATTGCACCTGGATCGACGACACTAATTCTTTCACCTGCGATCAGATAAACGTCGAGCTCTCCTCGGAGCTTCTTGTTGTAAAGCGGAATGGAAAACTCCCGTTTGTTGAGTTTTATCTTTTTTCATCTGCGCAAAGGAACTTCACCGCGCGAAGAATATCTTCGACGAGAGTAATATAGTTACAAATCTCTGTGCTTGTCTGAAAATATTCGTCGAGTTTCCTCCGCTTAAACATCTGCGAAAGTAAAACAAAGAATGCCAAAAGCATCGTTGCGCGTATCCCCGAGGATCAGCGCCGTCGATCCTCTTTTATTTCTATCGGGATAAATCGCGAGGATGCGCCGCGTAGATTCGCCGCGCAAATTTTCACGCAATCTTTCATCTGCAAATCTCCCAAAAGAAGGAGTTGTCGTTGGAATTTTCATTTATTCATTTTTCTCTTAAAGTCGCGTTGCAACAAGAACCACGGTCACGTGATAAACGCGTTTGCCCCGATTTCCTCAAATCACAGTTAAGACATCATCCGCCATTTCTAGAGAGCGAGTAAGTGAAAGAGAAGCTGCAGCGTGCTTCTTTTCAGTCACTTCAGTCTTAGAGCTTCTCTCTCATTCTTACTAGAATTTCTTTTTCACTCCCACTCACGTTAGCCCTAAAAATGCGGGACTGTTAGGACACCATCCGCCATTTGTAAGGAGGAAGTGAGCGAGTGAGTGAAAGAGAAGCTGCGGTATGTTTTACTTCAAACTTACAAGTAAATCTACCCAAAAGATACGCTCCGATTTCTTTCTAATTTGGTACCAACGAAAAATATTTAGGTCATATTTCTTCATTTTGACCCACTTTGAATTTTACGGGCAATTTATAGCCTTTTAATGTTCTCACTTCTATCATCAACAAATACTAAAGTGCATAAGAAATAAAATTGAATATAAGATATAGTTAAATAATTTTAACAAAGTCGGTATAGCTGAGACACGAACCATTTTAAATTTCTTTAGCCGAGATTCCAACCGAAATATTTCAAATCTGTGCTAAATTAGTCAAAAATGATTCAAATCTCGGTCAAATTATTTGTATAAATAATCGAGAAATTATTTGTATAAATAATTTTTCTTCAATTTTTTACTTTTTACATGTTTTGTTTAGACATTTTATTATTTATACAAATAATTTTACATATTTGACTTCATATTTATAATCAGCAAACCAAAAACGCCTATATCTTGTATTCAACTTTATTTCTTATGCATTTTTGTTGATGATAAGAATGAGAACATCGAAAAGCTATAAACTGCCCGTGAAACTCAAAGTGAGCCAAAATGAAAAAAATATGACCTAAATATTTTTTGTACTTCTACATTTGTGTCAAATTAGAAAGAAATCGGAGTGTAACTTTTGGTTTATTTATTT